AGCTGTCAAATCAGAACGGGATTCTAGGATAGAATCCCGCCCAAACGCGATTTCAGCGTTCAAGTTGGTTGAACTTCCAAACGCGGAACTCACCCACGCGTTTTAACTCTTAAGTGCAGAATTAACCCACGCGTTTTGACCACAACAACAACAACGCCTCAACAATAGAAGCTACGAAAAAGCTTCAAATAAATAGAGAGAAGCTAATATCAGCTATCAAGGTGACCAAACCCGAGAAGAAACTGGCGTATGACAAACAGTTATGTAGCCTCTTGATAGGTTACAACGCTAAAATCATCAAGCTCAATCTAGCGCGTAACTCATTCTTCTAAGTGGCTAAACATTCCCACTAAGATTAATGAAACCAGGAGCTGCGCACAACTCATTCTTCTAAGTGGCTTAACATTCCCACAAAGATTAATAAAGACACGATCCGACACGTAACTCATTCTTCTAAGTGGCTTAACATTCCCACAAAGATTAATGAAGATATGATCCGACGCGTAACTCATTCTTCTAAATGGCTTAACATCCCAACAAAGATTAATGAAGACAAGAGCTGTGCACAACTCTTTCTTCTAAATGGCTTAACATTCCCACCAATATCAAGGAAGCTGAAAGCTACATTTTGAGTGTTCATCAATGCCTACAAGAATTCTCTGGATGAAAGAATACATCTCATCACAGATCAAGTGGAGTATCTGAAGGATCCAAATAAAATCTGATGAATACACCTCATCGCAGATTGAGTAGAGTATCTCAAAGACCCAGACAAAATTGTTATCATCATCGCTCTTGTCTGGGTCATCAGCAATGACGTGGGCTTTAGCTTGTTTGACTAAGTTCATTATCATCAAGACTTAAAAGTTACATTGTTTGGTTTGAGGAAACAGAATTTCAACATTCCAACAACCAGATTCGCGATGTCTTCATATCAGATGAAGTGAACAATCATCAATCAACTAAATTTTGGGATCCAAAGTGTTCCGAAAATTCGTCTCAGTCAACCGCGAACTTTCGAAAACTTTGGAGGGGGTTTTTGGGATCCAAAGTGTTCCGAAAATTCGTCTCAGTCAACCGCGAACTTTCGAAAACTTTGGAGGGGGTTCTGTAGGCTGTCTAAACGAACTTTCGAAAACTTTGGAGGGGGTTCTGTAGGCTGTCTAAAAATCACAATAGATAGTTGATCCCCACCAAGCTTCAATGATGAAAGTTACAATCAGATGACTTTCATGCCGACAAATGAAAGCTGCAAATGGAGGATTTTTCACATAGATCGAGAAGAGTTACAATTCAACGACACTTCCGACAACTGATGGAAACTCTATTCGGTGGTGAGAGTTACAATCTGACGATTTTCACACCCCACAACAGCTAAAGCGAGGATTACTGAACAATGGTCCTTGCAACGCTTCACAGAAGAGGTTACAAGTCAACTAGCCCCTTCCCAAAATGCGAAACTCATCTTCGTGTTACAATTCTTGAAATGCAGGCGACCCCCGTGTTTCCAAGCTGCAACAAGCAAAACGCGAGCGGCCCTCACGTTTTTGACATTCAGTCAACACCCAACTCCTCATCTCAATTCTAAGACGCGAAGTTATGGTCCTAAACGCCAAATTAGGCGTTTGACTCATTCAAACATAAGTCGAACGGTTCCAGAACCGTTTTCCTCACGATCTGAGGAAATCATGCCCACTTAGGAGAGGATTATAGGGGCAGTTACACCCCTTATCCTCTTATAAAAACCTCAACCAACTAAACAGAGAAAAGGGTTCGGATTTTGGAGGGGAGGTTGAAGATTTTGAAATCAAAACCGTATAATGTTGGATTTTCTGAAGAGGAGGGGCGAATTCTTTGGAGATGGAAGATTTAAATCAGATTCAAAAGATCAAATCTAAAAGGATCCTTCAGCAACAGCAAATCTACTTGGCTATTAACCGAATTTTCGGTTCTAACAACTCTTTTCACGTAGTTCTAACTCGTTCTGAGTTCTCAAACTCGTTAAGAGTTATTCCCTAAACTTACCACGTAAGTTCACTGTTCCCACGGGATAAAGACGGTCGGATCGTCAACGAAGAGCGAATTCGACGCAAGCATTCGAAGGAGGCACTCAATCGCTACCTAGAAGAACTCAGTTTTAAACAAAGGGGAGAATCCAGATCATTCTCTTCTCTTTTGTAATCGGAATCCAATTGTAATTGAGGTCAAAGTAATACAAATCAAATTTTTTTTCATTTCTTTTACTACAAAATTTTCCACAAACACAACTGCGGTACGAACCTCACTTCTTTCAACTTCCTAACCACACCGTCATGCATCCTAATCCAAACTGAACCAATTCCACTAATAGAGCATACGTGATCATTACTCATAAGCACGGCCTCGAACTGCTATTGCATCTCCCGATGCCTACTCAAAAGGTTCGTCATCACTCTTCCTCAACTCATAATTTACCAACACAGAGGTTACCTCCTTGTAGCTAATAGTAATTCTTCCATTGCTAACAGTAGTTCTTCCATTGGTCATAGTGAGAACGAATGTACCATAATCATCCTCCGGTAACGAATACAAAAGTAGCATCGTATTGTCTTCATCTTTAGCCATGATGTCCACATTGGCCATATCTGAAAGTAGCTTCGTAAAGTTATTAACATGCTCCCTAATGGAAACTCCCATCTTCATCTTGAACGGGTAAAACCTCTTTTTCAAGTGAAGCCGATTCTCAATACTCTTCGTAAGATACTTCTCATTGAGCGTTTTCCACAATCTCTTCGCCGATGTCTCATTTATCACATCATAAATAAGATCTAGCGTCAAGCATGACCGAATAACTCTACAAGCCCTACTATTCATTTTCTTCTAAACCTTGTCCTCCATGTCAGCAGATTTCTCTTGTAACTCAAGAGTCTCCTCTAAATTCTGTGCATCCAACGCATCTATCACTTGACATCTCCACAAACCGAAATTGATCTTGCTATTAAACTTCAGAATATCAATCTTCGTATTATTGATTCTCAGACTCTGTATTGTCTTCGTAAGAGACGAACTTGATGTGTTTGCATTTCCCAAGTTGTTGATCTAACTCTTCAAATAGAAATCCTTCAGCGAGTTCTTCGAACAAGCTCCAAGCCAAACCTGTAGCTCTGATACCACTCGTTGTGCACAGCGGAACTCTAATCACACGAACAAGAACGATGTAGATCACAACTAAACACAAGCACAAATCATAATCACAACAAGACAACGAATTTTACATGGTTCGGCAAGTTGCCTACGTCCACGGGGTAAGGAGGGGGAGTTCTTACTATTAGAGATGAAGAGAATACAAAATAGGGTTACAAAATCACTCAGAATCCTAAAACAAAGCTATCTAAATCTCTCACTAATCTCCCACAATTGGATGTAACAATTCTCTCTCAAAGACTGCTCAAAACGTCTTTGCTTTTAACCCTAATTAACCATGTTTAGGGTTTTATACAAATAACAAACGAAACAGGTTGAAAACCCAAAAACCCAGCTCAGACCCGCTACGCGATTGACCGCAAGGCAACGACAAAAACAAAAAATCCTATAGAGTTTGGCCAGTCGACCGGACCTGACACTACGGTCGACTACCAAAAGTCCAGAGACTTACCAAGCTACGTGCACGTTTCCGGTCGACCGTGGCTGATCTCGCTGTCAATCGAAAATCTTCCAGCCTGTTTTTCTGAGTTGTTTCTTCAACTGTTCGCCACTTCCACATTTTATTCATTTCAAACTCAAGCATAATTTTAACAAAGATAAATGTTAATTCTCCAGAAAATAAAAAAAAAGTTACCACTATGTTTAGCATTAGTCCGTATCTGAACATCTGAATTAATAGCTTCAGCATCTGTAAACATTCAATTAAGTCATGGAACATTATTTAAAAGCCAAATTACTAAAAATAAGAAAACTAATAATGAAACCAAAAAACTATAACAAATAATGTAAAATGAAGAACATAGGATTTCCTCTATCTCTATTTAAGGTAGAAATTGTCGGTGCTAAAACTTGAACTATAGAATTGTCTTCAGATATTTCAGATGCTCTACTTGCAAATGACATTGATAAATAATTTTTCATTCCAATGTGACGTAGTAAAATAGACTGAGATGGATAATTCGTTATAGAGCTAGATATTCCCTCCAATGATTGTCTATTAAATTCACAATCACTAATGCATATTGTCTGTGAAGATCTCATTCTCTTTAGTCTACATCTTGATGCAGATGCAACATCGACAATATGATTAGTCATGACAAAATTATTTGATAAATTTGTGACACAACTTGATATGACCCCTAGTGGTCTTCTTGTCATTTTCCAATTTTGAACACAACTTATTTGAGATGAATGAGTACTCAAATTTTCTTTTCCTACTCCACAACTTCTCACAGATTAATTTAACTATGTTTCATTCTCCAAAACATACATAACACAGTTCTCATCACAGTTAATATGAGAAGAATTACTTTGTACTAAGTTTATGCCTGAAATAATCAATTGACAATAAGACAAATCATCATACATTTTCTACCATATAAATATCAAACATACAATAAGATTAATTGCTAAATGTGAAATATAAAATAAGGTAAATTGCAAAACCCCCCTCCCCAAACGCAATCCCCCTCAATAAAAAAGAAGGAACTAAACCCACCATTATACTTTTTGTTACTCGCCCAAAGAACTTTAGGGGTTATTATATATAACTCACTAAAAAAATTTATTTTACTAAACTTCAAATGAAAATTTTCTTTTAGTCTTCAAATTAACCAGGGCCGGCCCTGATATTCTTAATTTTTCATGGGGCCCTAATCAAGCTTTCAAATGAGGGGCCTAATATACAATATTCCATACACAAAAAATTTTATAAGATAGCAAAATATTTTTTTATTAAAATAAGACAATAAGCACATAATCGTATTAATATTAAAATAAAAAAACTTCTTGATGCTTTATAAATAACACAATTCATACTACATTAAATGGGATCGCCTTGCATTTTGAGCTGCAAAATTATCAATTAAAATGTTCCAATCAAGCTTCTCCAATAAATTTTTTTCGATAGATATCATAGCCAATCCATTCAATCTCTCTTGTGACATTGTTGACCGTAGATAAGATTTGATGAGCTTCAACTTTGAAAAGCTTCTCTCAGCCGATGCAACTGTAACTGGTATTGTCAATAATACTCTATAAGCAATCCAAGCATTTGGAAAACAACAATTTAGCCTTTCCATAAAATTCAATACTTCAATTGCTTTTTTTGTTCCTCTTGGTAATGCTTCTCTTAAGATTTGGAGTTCTGAAAATAATTCTATCCCATTAATATCAAAATTTTTGTCATGCTTTAGGAGATCTTCAAGGTTAAGACATGAACACTTCAAACTATCATTATCTGCAGACTTCAACCTCTCCAAATTAAACAAGAAACCAAAAGATTCATCATACTGTTGAAACTGTTCAAATCTACTCTTGAGTGAAGAAAGAGCTTGATCAACGATATATATGAAGTAATTGACTCTAAAGGATTCTTCAGCTGTCATTGCCATCTCTTTACTAGCATTTTCATCAAAATGTTTCTTTCTACGAATGATGCGACGTTCACGAAAAATGGGTTCAACTTTCATTCTAACTGCAATTTCTTTAGCCTCAACCATAGCTGCTTCAAATCCATTTTCTCTGTAGCTTTCAAAAAAAGAAATGAGCCCTCTTAAAAGGTCTATAGCAACATCAATCTGCATATCCTCTGATTGCATGATTTTACTTATTTTGTTAATAGCATTCAAAATATCAAACCAAATAACCATACCAAGTAAGAACTCAAAATTCTCAATTTCATATGCTGCTAAGCACTCAGCATCACTTTTTGTCTTGGGATCTTCACTAGAACTTGCTAAGTAAATCAAAGCATCTCTTATATCTGGAGCTTGGAATCTTATTGCTTTAACACTTTCAACTTGACCTTCCCAACGAGTTTGTGATGGTGGCTTAAGTGTGAAACCTTTAACATTATCTGTAAGAACTTTCCACCGCTTTGTAGAAGATGCAAACAATGAATATATGCGCTGCACCACTCCAAAAAAAGATGAAGCTTGCGAACAAGAGTTTACCATATCACAAAGTGCAAGGTTAAGACTATGACAACCACAAGGTGTGTAGAATGCTCTAGGATTTATCTCTAATAATCTTCTTTGTACACCTTTATGTTTTCCTTTCATATTAGAACCATTATCATACCCTTGTCCTCTTACATCACCAATATCAAGTTTAAGCTCTTGCAAAATATTTACAAGTTCTTCAAAAAGTCCTCGTCCTGATGTATCATCCACCTTTAAAAATCCTAAAAAGAACTCCTCATTCTTTATTGGGCTTGTTGAAATATTCACGCATCTTAATATAAGTGACATTTGCTCTTCATGGCTTGCATCCGGAGTACAATCAAGAATAACAGAAAAGTACTTTGCTTCTTTAATCTTTTGGATGATTAAACTTTTGATCTCATCTGCTATTCGAAGAATAAATTCATTTTGAATTTTGTGACTAAGATAATGATAATGAATTTCTTTCTCCTGAACTCGACGAACATGCTCTTTCATTATTGGATCAAATTCGGCAATCATTTCTATTATACTTAAAAAATTTCCATTATTTTCTTCATAAAGCTTCTCATTATCTCCACGAAATGCCAAACTATTTTTAGCAAGTGTTTTCACAACAGCAACTACTCTCAATAGTACTTTTCTCCAATGTTCTCGTTCTTTGTTGATTTGTTCTTCAACACTTTTATCGATTGTCGCATTTTGTCGTAATCTGATCTCTAATTCAATCCAACTCTTCATGTTAACAATGTGTTCACTACTTGTTTCATGACTTTTAAGTCTAGCACTGAGATTTCTCCAGTCTCTAACTCCATCATTTGCCAATTGAATTTTGTTTGCATCATTTTTGAACAACTTACAACAAAAACAAAAAACCTTGTCCAAAGAATTTGAATAGATTAGCCATTTTCTATCATGATGTTCACCATTGGATAAGTTACGAATGTAATATGTTGAGGAGAAATGTCTGCCTTCTAAATCTTTCGGAAAATCAAAGAATATGTATTTCTACTACAAGTAATAAATTTTTCAAGTGCTCCCGCTTGAGATCGATTGAATTCTTCAATTTTTTGTTTCTTTATCCACTTATCATGTCCAGACATATACTTTCGAGGAGGCATGATATCCAAATTTAATTCTGAATCTGCTACAATCTAATAAATATCAAGAAAAATAAATTAATCAAGAATTCCTACCAAAAAGCATGTTAGGGACTAAAATATATCAAATATTTAAATTGAAATTTGAAATTAAACAATAAAATCTAGTGAGAACTAATTCCAATTCCAATTTCAATTTAGGCCCTAATCAATTTTAATTTCAATTTCACAAAGCCCTAATTCCTAAACCCTAATTCCACAAAGCCCTAATTCCTAAACCCTAGTGAGAACTGAGGACTTATAGATAAATCAAAATTTCTACATCAATTCATGATCTTGTCAAAAGGAGCATAAAAGTAAAGAAGACAAGAAGTGAAACCCTAACCTTGGCTTGGTCAATGGCGGCGGGCACAGATAAATCAAAATTTCTACATCAATTCACGATCTTGTCAAAAGGAGCATAGAAGTGAAGAAGACAAGAAGTGAAACCCTAACCTTGGCTTGGTCAATGGCGGCGGGCCGGCGGCCGGCGGGCGAGATCCGAGAGGGAGGAGGACAAGCCGACAAGGACGGCCCTGCTGGAGGAAGATCCGAAGATTGGAAGAAGAGAGAGATCAGAGAGAGAGGGTTTTCATTTTTTTTCCCTTTGTGAGAGCGGCCCTGGATTGGATACAGAGAACGGGTTCAAGTCTTGAAGATAGGGGTGGTTTTGTTGAGTATTTATGCTATTAGAACCCTTTAAAAATTTTGCACAAAAGTCCTCTTACATTTTCATCTATATATATCTATCTAAAATGGGGGCCCTTGTTTTTTGGGGGCCCTAGGCGAAAGATTGTCCTGCCTATGCCCAGGGCCGGCACTGAAATTAACCCAACCAATTCTAACATCTCATGTGGCACGCATATGCTTACTTGATCACATGTTAGAATTGATGTTTCTAATGTGAGGATTAAAGGACTAATTTTCATGTAATGTTTCAGGAGAGTTATGTGCAGTAACTCCTAAAGTTTATGGGGTTTAGTCGAATAAAATATTTGAGGGGGTTTATATAATTAACCCATAAAGTAAAGGATTCAAAATTTAGTGATTCACCATGGTCGGCACTATTAGCCTTTGCCCATTTAGCCAACAACATTCTTCTATTGAATCTCGATTGTTTCTTGTTGATATGATCCACATTGATGATACCCTCATCACCACTTATACCAACTGATCTATCTTTGAACATCATATTTGCATTTCAACTTTTAACTCAACAACAACATTAACCCAGTAACATTTCAAACCGCCATAACAATTATAATTGTAAAGTATTTAATATATATAAAATGTTTACTCACAAAGAGTGAATGTGTTACTCAAAATACAAAAGGTTCAAGTAACCCATAAATGTATTACTAATTCTAGCAGCCGTATGCAGGGATCTCCCGTGTACTAATTCTAGCAGCCATATGCAGTCAATGAGCAAGTAGCATATTTTCTAATAGTTATCTAAAATAATCAGACTTTAAATATGCATATATGTTTTGTCAACTAATTCCAACAGCCATATGCAGCATATATGCAAGTAGTATATTTGCTATATTTATATAAAATAATCAAACTTCATATTGGAGAAACTGATAGATTTCAAAGGGATTGAGATTAAGAAAAGCGATATATTTCGGTTAAATGCCCCACGTCGTTCTTATGAGGACATTTAGCGTGAAATGATCCAGTTCTGCTTCTTTGAGGATATGGTCTTCTAATGCCCTCCTTTAGAAGCACCGTGGCATTCCAGAATCATAATATCAACATACATGAGCGCATCCCTACTTTTCGCTGAAGGAACGCGAAGAGGTAGTTTCTCATATATTTTCTTGGATGAGGCAGGCCATGATACCATTATCATTCCTATGTGGGAGGGAGACTGTCGTTGTGTTAGCTGGAGACCCGAAGCAGCTGGATCCTATAATTTACTCGGAATTCACAGGATATTATGGGTTGAAAAAATCATACCTTGAGAGGATCTTTGAGTATGATTTATATGGTAGTGGCAATGAGAACTTAATTACTAATTAGTTAGTGAGAAATTATCGGTGTCATCCAGCAATTTTGAAGCTTCCTTCAGAGCTTTCCTATGAGGGAGAATTGATTGTTTGTAAAGGAAGAAAATGAATCATTCATGTATGAGTGGGCTGAGCTCCCTAACCAAAACTTCTCAGGGATGTACATGAGAGGGAGGGTAATAATCCTCCTTCATGGTTCAATAGGATTGAGGCGAGCAAAGTCACTGAGATTATCAGGAAACTTTTGAGGAATTTTGAGCTTACAGAAGCAGATTTTTGAGTAAATACAACATATCATCAGCAAGTGGTTAAGCTAAAGATGGCTCTGGAGTCACTGGAAATGCCACAGATGTGAAGGTTGGAAGTGTGGAGCAATTTCAGGGTCAAAAGAAGGAGATAATTATCATATCGATCTACTGTCAGGTCAACTGTTAAGTATAATGAGCTCGATTGAACATACAACTTGGGTTTTCTTGGAAATCGGCAGAGATTCAATGTTGCCGTTACTCGCTCCAGATCCTTGCTTATCATAGTAGGAAATCCCCCATATCCTTGCTAAGGTAACTTTGATATTTAAACAGCTAAGCAAAGGTTTCTTTTTCTTTCTTTTTTTTTTCATTTTGTTCCTTCTTCCTTTGGTGCATTTACATATGTTGTTCATTAACTGGTACCGTTTAAGTTTTGCTAATTATATATAATTACTGATGTTTTTTCTGATTAAATACACAAGATGAGGAGGGATATAAATAATACTTACTTTTTTCTGCTCAACACAATGGATACAATACACACAAGTACATGGATGCCATAAATTCCAATAAATCAGAAAACTGTGCATGATTATGGCAATATATATGTAAACACCATGTAGTTTCTTCTTAAAAAAAAACAATTAAAACACCATGACTGGACTGTGAAATTAAACTTTTAACTTATAAATTGAATGTGATATTTTTCAAACAACCATTATTCTTGACATCCTTTATTAACAAAGAGTTCAACTATCTAAATGCATGTACAAATTAAGCATTGCATTACTAACTTCTTAGGATCTGTTACGTCTGTGAAGTCTAGCTAGAATACATTATAAAATTTAGCATGCAAAGGACACCCAACAAATTCTCATGGTATCACTTCGGAAAAAGGGAAAGACCATCTGACAATTATGATACGTATCCGAGAGAAGTACCTCCTTTATGCAGCATATGTGCAAGTAGCTAGTATATTTGCTATATTTAATATTAAATAATCAAACTTCATATTATGCATCGGAAATAATTGTAAGATGAGAGAAACCGTATATTAGTGCATCAGTCAACAATAACATGCCGGAAAGTAGAAGGCAAAAGAAGCAGGTAGAAGATCAAAACTAGGATCATGTAGTACAAAGAAGCGAGAACGTCATACATAAGAAAAACTATATACAAATCTGATAATGGAAAAGAAGGGTTAATCGATTAATTAAGCAAAACTATTAGATTATAGGCCTTCTGATTAGATTGTTCTCCCTTGTATGACAGGTTTGATATTAAATTATATATCATCACAGAGCAATGAAAGCGATACAAAGTGTATATCAAAACTACGTACAGATAAAATTATACCATACTCGGTCAACATAGCAAGTTTGCCAAAAAGTAATGAGTTGCAAACCTTGTATGATTCAGCAAGTCACCCGCATTAGCAAGACACACTATATATGCCCAAGCCAAGGAATCCCTAAAAAACTCAAAAGCACAATAAATGAGTAAGCTTTTAAACATCATACTATTAAGTAATAGAAGATACTAAGAAATAGCTAAAGAAATAGCTCAGTAAACTTGAAACAACCTCGTCAACATAGCATTAGTAGAGAATTTTAAAATTAGAAGCTCTGAATATAAAAGCTCACTGTAATAAAAAGAATAAAATAGCACAAATGTTACCAACAAATAACAATAAGATGCATAATCAACTTAGAAAAAAAGAGCTAATGGAATTGAAATCAGCTACGAATGAAATCAAAACCATAGTATTTCTTAATGGGACCAACTTTTCGATCATAGAGATAGACATTTCACCCTACATTATTTTCCAACAAACAAATGGATAATCATATCAGAATTTCTAAAATAATGCACATCATATAAGGAAAACAAAACATTTCATTAAAGAGTCAGAACATGTTCTCGGATTTCAAATTACAAAAACAAACCAAATTGCAAACAATAGAAGGAAATGACATAGCTTCTAATCATAACAACATTCTCTAAAATTAGTCAACAATTCTCATAGTCAATGACACCGCACAATGTCATTCTTATATGTCATTTTAAGTGGACACCTTTTTAAGTCTACCAAACCAAGGCATTCCACTCACATTTTAAGTAGACCTTATTTTAACTCTACCGAATCAGCTCCAAATAAAATCAAAACCAAAGTCTTTCTTAACTGGACCAACTTTTTGATCATAGAGATACACGTTTCAACTTACTTTAGTTTCCAACAAACAAATGCATAATCATATCAAAAAATATAAGATAATGCACATCATAAGAAAAACAAAACATTTCATTAAAGATTCAAAACATGTTCTCAGATTTCAAATTACAAAAACAAACCAAAATGCAAACATTAGAAGAAAATGACATGCGTTCCAATCACAGCAACATTCTTTAAATCAATCAACAATTCTCATAGTCAATGATACCGCACATTGTCATTCACAGTTGGCCTTTTACGTAGACATCTTTTTAACTCTACCAAACCAAGGTATTGCACTCATATTGTCAGCTTTGGCACTACAGATGTTTGGTGCAAGGGACAACATTGCAGTGCGTCTGCATAATCTCTTAAAATCCCAATCAACCGCGATATGTCTCATTTCAGAAACGACCTCAACGTAGGATTGTTAAGCAATCTATCCTTAACAAATTCAAACTCATCCGGCAATGAGTTGACCAGTCTAATTATCTTTTCTTCTTCACTCAATTCAGATTCCATTTGTACTTCTATATTAAATAATATATTTTTCATGTTCGAAATGTGCTCCTCTAATGTCTCATTTCTTTTCATCTTATGTGTCATATATTCTAAGTTCGTTGGTTTGTGATATGGCACTCCCATCCTAGTTACATGGCCATTCCTTCCCCAATATGCTAACATTCTTTTCTTGCAGTTCGTTTCATCCTCACCATGAGTATAATAAAATTGAAAATATATATTAGTAGCTGCCTTCAGAACAACATCAAAAAATGGAGAAGGAAAATACGTGTTTTAATAAAGTGGAATATGTAAATTTTATGAAAAAAACTATTCTATAAAACCTTAGCTAACATAATTCTCAAAAATAAAAATGTAGCTGACATATCATTTGCATACAACATCCTTGTGTCTATAAAGAAAATTATTGATTGAGATGAGATTTTACAAACAATATAAATACAATGCTGAGAAACACCTGCATTGCTTGCTACATATATTAAAAGATTATGTGCGAACTAAGAAGAATTTTATGACAACATTTGCATTTCTGTCATATATACGATGCCGAACAATGACAGTAAAATGCACCAATAACCCAATAACGTAAATCTATAAGAAAAAATATCTAGACGAAGCAAATAATAATGTTACTCCAAGTGACATTACATACGCATTCTTACGTGTTTATTTGCTTTTAAGAGTAATCATGACAACACATTTTCGTTTAGAGGTTACCAAGGTCGAGAATCCAAACATTATCATCACTGCACAATTATCGTTCACCGCATACGAAGTTAAGATTCTCTAATGTCTAACTACTTCTATAAATAATGTCCTTCTAATTTCTCATGTCCAGCTAATTAAGCTTGCACTTTGAGATTGGTACGCATATCAAACTGCCAGTCTGTTATAAAATTTAAGAATTTATAATTAACAACTAAGTTTGCTATTTTGTTCATGTTTACATCCTCTAATCAACGTTGGACCTCGAACCCGGAGAAGATTATTAAGCCGGCAAATGGTTTTGGGTAGATCAAGGTCGACGCCGAACAATGACAGTGATTCAAGCTTATATATAGATGAGCAATCAGCACCACAGATAGTATGAATTTTTTTGTAAAAATATGAATGTAGCTCCGCCATGGTATACAATATTAAACACATAAAACTGTGACAGGGTATAAATTGAGATTCGGTTCAAATCGCCATGGTGTAATATCACAGACTGACCTGTCGACCTCCAGTGACGCCGGCGACCTTCACCTCCACTGACGCCGACGACCTTGTGTAGCAGCTTTAATAAGAGCATCTCCAAGGGATCCCTTGGATGTCTCTTAATTTAGGGGGTGAAGGGAAGTTAAGGTGAATTAACTTCACCTCCTAAGTTTTCCCAAACAAGATGAATGGAAGTGAATGGTTCCCCTAACTTCCCTTCACCCTCATTCCCCTCAATCCAAACAAGCCCTAAGGGAGGGGTTGGTTCTCCTCCAATGGTTCTCCCTTAAAAGTCTCATACCCCTTAAGTAATTATGTTTAGTTTTTTAATTTTATAGCTTAGGATTTAATTAAATATATGATTTATTTATAAATGAATAAATAATTAAATGTTAATAACTAAAAATAATTAATTTAAATTAAGAAACTACCTTATATAATCATTAAATTAATTAATCATATTAAAATTTAACAAATAATTAATTTAGATAATAATTAATTTATATAAATTGTGTTAAAAGTAAAATATTATTTTAAATTTAAATTCATATTATTTTAATATTAATTTAATTTAACAATAATATCTCAACAGTTATATCTCAACGGTCATATTATAACGGTCATATTTTAACGGTCATATTACAACAGTCGTTTTTTAATTAAATGTGGTCACTCCCTGTATAAATAGCACTACCAGTGTCTTTCATTTCACTAAATTCAAATTCATTCAAAATTTTAACCCAGTCTTCAATATTATTTATGGCTAGTAATTTGTTATGTGTCTTGCTACAAGAGGAAGAGGATGACGACGATGATGATTATGCCACCTTATTAGCAATCGCATATTTGGAAGAACAACACTCCAGCGAAGGTCAAAGTTCTTGTCGTCGTGGTTCCATTCCAGGGCACGTTGTAATTCAACGCAATAGAGCTAAAGGTCACGAGAGGCTTTTTCATGATTATTTTAGTGAATCTCCTGTGTATCTAGCAAAACTGTTTCGAAGGAGATTTCGTATGCATCGTCCACTATTTTTGTGTATTTTATCCACAGTGGAAACACATGATTCCTACTTTGTCCAAAAACGGGATGCTGCTGGGAAAATTGGTTTATCCTCACTACAGAAAGTAACTGCTTCTATGAGGATGCTTGCTTATGGAGTATCAGGAGATTCTGTGGATGATTACGTGCGGATTGGAGAAAGCACCGCTATAGGGAGTCTTGGCAGGTTTACCAAAGTAATTGTTACAATTTTCGGTGATGAGTATCTAAGGTCACTAACTGACGAGGACGCTGCAAGATTGTTTGCAATTGGCAAACAACGAGAATTTCTTGGGATGTTAGGAAGCATTGACTGCATGCATTGGAGATGGAAGAATTGTTCGGCTGCGTATCATTGTATGTATACTGGTCATATCCACACTCCTACAATAATTTTAGAAGCTGTTGTTTCATATGATCTTTGGATTTGGCATGCTTTTTTTGTTTACCGGGAGCTCTTAATGACATTAATGTGTTAGAACGGTCTTCCGTTTTCTCACAACTTGCTGAAGGGCATGGTCTGACTGTTAACTATATAGTCAATGGTCATGAATACACGATGGGATATTACTTTGTTGATGGTATATATCCTTCATCGGCAACATTTGTTAAAACAATTTCTTTACCACAAGGAAATAAAAGAAAACATTTTGCTACACTTCATGAGTCGGCAAGAAAGGATAAAGAGCGAGCATTCGGGGTACTCCAATCACGCTTTGCAATTGTACGTGGACCAGCTCGCTCTTGGGATGAGAAAATATTGAAGAATATTATGCAAGCATGCATAATAATGCATAACATGATCGTTGAAGATGAAAGAAATGATAGAGAGATCGACTTCATGTACGATGCTGCTGAGGAAGCTCCAACCATATCGGTGTCTCACGAACGTACAATAGATTTGTGTGAATTTATTCAGAATCATCATCGCATTAGAGACAGGAAAACTCATTCTCAATTGCAATTGGATCTTATTGAGCATTTATGGGAACAAAATGGTGGGCTTTAGTAAGGGATTTGTATGCTGATGTAATATTAATGTCATTTAATTTAGTGTTGCAAGTAAGAAACTGTTAGTTGATGTAGTATTGATGTTATTGAATTTCTAGAGGAATATGTGATCATATTTGATTTTTGAGAAAAGTTTCCATTTGCATAAATAGAACTTCATTATATCTTTAAATACGATACATCATCTTCAAGTATGATACAACAAGAGTAAATTGAAATACATAAAAACACACTAAATATGATACATCATCTTCAACTATGATACACCATCTTCAAGTACGATACAATGAGTAAATTGAAATACATAAAAACACACTAAATACGATACGCCATCTTCAAGTACGATACACCTTCCTTCTAATTTGAACCACCACCACCAAATTGTCTTTCAAGAATTTCCATCTTCAGCTTATTGTAATACTCTACTTGTAATGGAGGCATGCCATCGGTGTTAATTGTCACAATTCTCTCATCTTGTTTCATAGCTTTCAATCATATTTTTTCCTTTTTGATATTTTGAGCTTCTTGAGTGACCTGTAGTCTGGCTTGCTCTATCTTTATGCACTCTTGCTCCTGAACATAAATTTGATCAAATAATTCTGCTCTCTTTGTTTCTTTTTTTTCTGATCTTGCTTCATTTCATCAATAAACAACATCACTAGTGTAATTTCAGAAGCCATATACTTGTCTTTACCTAGTTTCAACCTTTCTTTTGCAGCCTTTCTACCTATGAGCCTTGACGAACCCTCAGTAGGACATTCTTCTTCCCTGCAATTTATTGAATCTGGAGTTGCAGGAGAAGATGTAGCAGGACTTGAATTTTTTAACTTCTTAGCTTTTTTCATTGAAAATTGGTCAAGCCACTTTGGATGGAACCTTAAATCATTCCAACAATGTAAAAATTAAAAACTTGCTCCTTGCATGCTTTGAAACATTTGCATCGCTTCCATAATTAATTAAAAATAAAATAAATTTACTAACATGTAAAAAGTAAAAAAATATAATAAATTATATAAATCTAATCAGTTTAAATAATTTGAATTCAAGAATTAGTACCTTGTCATTCTCTATCAAGCCACTTTGATTTCTTGGTTCAATTTGATTAAAACACCCACAAAATTTACTAACTGCAATTTGAATAGCCGACCAACGGTGCTCTAACCCTTTTTTATCACGATCGCTACTGAATGTTTTGTTTTCATATAGTAAGTTGCTACTCGGTTCCAAAATGTGGCATATTTTTGCAATGTCCCTTGCAATGGATCAATGCTAGTGTTGATCCATGCAGATACAAGCAAGATGTCTTCTTCGATCCGATATTTTGATTTTCGCATCGACTTCTTTTGTAATGGTACATCTTTTACCGAATTTTCTTCGGGTACGTCCGGTTGAAACGATTGCTCTTCATATTGATCTTCCCATGGATAATGGCTAGTCATCAAATTGACATAATATGGATTATTATTTTCTGCCATCTACTTGTAGTGAAGTGTGAAAGTGCACTTCAGGGTAGTGTCTTATATATAGGGTAAAAAATAATTAGATAATTTAAAAAAATTAACTATTGTATCTAAAAAACAAAAAAAAAGCCTACAGCCTACACTAGGAACAAAGCCTATACTAGAAAAACACCCTATACTACAAAGACAAAACATATAATTAAAAAAGTCTATACTAGAAAAACAGCCTATATATACTAGGAAAAAATCCTATACTAGAAAAACAGCCTATATATACTAGGAAAAAATCCTATACTAGAAAAACACCCTATACTACAAAGACAAAACCTATAATTAAAAAAGCCTACACTAGGAAAACAACCTACACTAGGGAAAAAACCTATACTAGAAACACACCCGGTACTACAAAGACAACCTATAATTAAAAAAAAATACTATACTAGAAAAACAACCTATATTAGAAAAAAAATCTATACTAGAAAAACACCCTATACTAGGAAAAAACAACCTATAAAATATTAATAAAAAATTACAATAAAAATTATAAGAGGTATATTTTAAAAAATATTAAACAAATTAAATTAACTATACATTAACTTAATTATATTATTTTAAATTAACTTTACATTAACTAAATTTAATTAACTCTAACTTAACTCTAAAACAAAACATATTAATATAAAATTATAGGGGGAATGTTAAGGGACTTTAACCTTTCCCTTAATTTAGGGAGTAAGATAAGGGACTTGGGGGTGAAGGGGGAAAATTCCGATCCGTTAGAGCCGAAACCCCTTAAATATCCGTTAATTTAGCTAAGGGGCCGGATTTCTCCGGCCCCTTGGAGATGCTCTAAAAAGGGGTGAGGAGGTGGGTGAAAGGCGGGGTCGGGACTTGGGAATTGAGGAAAGGGTGGGCAAGGATGTTAAGTGAAATAATTAGAGTGAGTTAACTGCTGAGGTTCAAACTTTATTAGGGGTTGTGTGGTTCATTTCCTCGAAACCCAAGTTTGGGAGATTACTCATCGGAAATAGGTTGTGTTTTCAAATTTATTTCATGATTTTTTTAGAGAAAATGTGTTTCCTTAAAATTGGGACCCACGACACTATTATCTTACTAGTGGGTGGGTCCCACATGCACAACATCTCTTTTTTCCTCTCTTAACCAAACAGAAGAAAAGGAAATCAAACACCTTCACGTGTGTGTGTGTTGGGTGTTTTGATTTCATTTTCTTAGTTTCTCAGCCAACCAAACAGCCCCTTAGAAGAAATAATCGGGTAATAAATGGCTAACATTGAGATAAGTTACGGTTATCATTAAAAAAATTATTTTTATTTAAAAAATTAATTTTAAAAAAACAGGGATTTGCCAAGTGGCATGTTCAATGGTAACAGTGTTAATAGAAGGTATAAATTATGGATATGGTTAGGGGCTGTTTGGTTCACCTATTTTATCAAAAAGTTTTGAAAAAACACCTGATAAGGGCGTAATCGTAAATAATAAAATTTTGTAGATTTCTATAAAGTGTGTTTGGTTCCAAAAAAATTATAGAAATATTTTCTATAAAGTAGAGAAAAGTGTACTATTTTATAGAAATCAACTTCTTCGCTAAATGGGCAAAAATTGCAAGGAAATCCGATGCATATATTAAAAAACTAATTAAGTACACCACTACCATTTCCATGTGATTTTCCATGGGCATTGTTAGTAAGCTATTTTCTATAAAGTGATATCCAACCAAACAAAAGAAAATGAAAACAACATATTTTTTATAAAGTTGGGAACTTTTTTCATACTTTAAACCAAACAAAGAAATAGCAAAAAAATAAGAAATAGGGTACTCTTTGAGTTCTACAAATTTTTCCTACAAATTTTATAAATACAAGGAAATTAAATTTTGAATTTTTCCCCCTCTCTTTTAAAGAAATTGGACCTAACAGCCCCTTATCACATCTATTACTATACACTCAAACATTCGTTCTTAGCGTCATAAATGAAAATTACATGGTAACTGTATTGATTAAAACTAATTAAATTATTATTAATTATTAATAATATATTTTCTTTGGAAAAAAATTATATATAATTATGTTGGNATGGGTTGGTTTTGGTTTCTTTAGTTTGTATATATTTTTTTTCTATACGAGTTTCATTTTTGTTATGGACTTTATTCTAAAAATTAAATTGTTCTAATTTTTTCCCCTTTAGGGGGGAGTTATTGGTTGAGGATTATTGATTTGGACTCGAACTTTTCATTGGATTTCAAGTTATGGTGTTATTCATTTTGGACTAGAATTTGGATTTAAATTTAAGGTGTTATTGGTTTAAGACTATGATTCGGATTTGAACTTAATGTGTTTTTGGTTTAGAACTAGGATTTGGATTTGAATTTAACGTGTTATTGGTTTAGGACTAAGATTCAGATATGAATTTAAGGTGTTATTAGTTGTCTAGGATTGTTATTAGGACTAGGATTTCAAAATCCACACTTCATTCTAACTCTATAGTTTTTAATGAGAATTTTTCAAGAGAAAGTCAAAGTTAAAATAGATGGATTGTGATGTTACTATATGACTCTCCTCTCTCCTCTTCTCTTTACTTATATTTAAATATTTAATATATTTCAAATTATAAATATTTAATTTTATACTATTCCGTATTAAGTTATTATATATTAACATTGAATGTATTTATTTGAAAATAATTTTTATCAAATTCTATAAATTTATTTAATTAATTTAAAATGAAATATATTTATCACTTAATATATATAATATTGACTTAGGTATGTTCATTATTAAACATTTCTTAAATATATAAATATTTTAAATACTTAACACTATATTACATACATTTTGTTTGAATTGTTTAAATGGATTACAAGATGCTTTCAATTTTGTTGTTGTCATCTGTTAATCGAAATGAGAGTGGTTTTTTTAATCAATGTTAATTTCCTGTTAATGATTATTATTCAACATAATAATTTAATTTGAAACTCACGCAAATAATCTATTAATCTAAATTTTAGTCTGAGAATCGAACAATTAGTCCATGAATCCAAAGCAAAAGTTCAAAATTTCTAGAATTCTACTCACAAAAATCAAAATCCAATCTAAGAGTATGAGGCTTTAACCATGAAATCCTAGTCCAAGCCCCAATCCAAGAGTGTCGGATTCATGAACAATCGTCCGAGTCCAAATCAACAATCTGAAATGAATAACACCCCTTAGACTACCACTCCTCTAAAACAGATAACTTGAGCGGGAGTTCTTATATCCTTCTTTTTTTTAATATTTCAAAAAAAAAACATGCTATCCTCAGTTAATAAGTGTGTGAATAGTTTTTATTTCAAAATTTTAAATTTCAAATTAGGGAGGGACACGTGAATTTTTTTTTTTTTTTTTTTTTGAGTTTTTTTTTCAAAATTTTAAATTTCAAATTAGGGAGGGACACGTGAATTTTTTTTTTTTTTTTTTTTGAGATATAAGACTAATAGTAAATCACAAATTTCTTTTTATATATAAAGTAGGGATTTAAACCA